CATTCAGGAACATTCTCTGTAATGAGAAAATAATTGTATCTCTGATTAATAATGGGAAAAATCACTTTAAGGCAAATTGTTATTTTTACTGCTTTACACAGTGATTAACATTTAATTTTTTGCATCAACTCTTAGTTTAGGAGGAGCCCTTGGGGAAAATAGTTTAAGGGGTGACCTAATATGCAAAAAGTCAAGAGACCTTTTGTGCTATTGGCTTTGTCGCTGATCTGGTAAATTGGGATTGTGCCACAGATTCTTCTGTGTACAACGAAAATAAAGTATGGTTAAACCTTGAATGCAGTCAGTACTGCCAAGGAAAATGCAAGACAGAATCCACGGTGTTAAATATCCTTTTAAATAAAAGCTCAGACTTTGATACATTATTAGTCTGAGAACAAGGAATTGTTCTATTGATTAAACGTTTGACATTTTTCAGCCTTGCAGTGTGATGTAAACATTGTTTCAAATGTGATGTTGCCAGAGCCTGGAGCACACTTCTCTTTGCTTGCATAGCCCATTTTTAAAAATGTCATTATGTCTGATTCAACTGCATAATCAGTATTTCACGATTTCAGAAAATTGCTGGTTTTTCTTGGCCTTACAGTGGTGAAGAAACAAAGTGCCTCAAACCTTGCTGTGAACACCAAGCAGCACATTTCCAGTGCATCCAAGGTGGTGGGGCTCTGATGCTGATAACACATGAAGTTACACAACATAACCAGAACCCCTTGATACAAGTATCTGTGGGAGGGAAATTATTTTTTCTATTGTATATGCAACAGACAGCTATTAATCTTTCTTCAACATTACGCCTTCTTTTTTATGCTTCATCAGATCACACAGCAGTGTTTCTTTCTGCTTACTTCTACACTTACAGGCAGGTCACAAGTACAAATTTTGGCTTCTCTGAAGATCAAAGGAAGAAAACTTCTGTTCAAATGCCATAGTCAGTAACCAGCACTGGGGAAACAAAAAGTCAGAGCAGCAGCAGAACCATTACAGAGTTTTCAACGTTGGGCAGTTTTTATGACCATCAGCAATAGTCTGCAATGGCTTAAGGCTCCTCCCTTTCTAGGAGCTGTTACCTGGAAACAAAGTCCAAGAAATTCAGCCATCAAGGTGAACTACGAAGAATGACTTTCTAAAAATCAGAGGTGAGCAAATGGATAGCTAAGTTAAGAAAAAAATGCCACCTTGCTTTGGCACTAGAGTCTTGTAAGATAAAATTGTTAACATTTCAGCTGCGAGTTCATGTTACTGTGGACATACCTATTATGGGACTGTTTAGTTCCAAAAGTAATTGAGATTTCATTAAAACCGCAAGGGTAATTCTGAAAGTGTCACATGACTTTCTACTTCAGGCTGGTCCCATAAGAAGTGCAAACCTCCCCCTGTATTAATTAAATTTTTTGTATGCCTTATGTTCATAAACAATTGCTATTTTTAATTTATTTTTTAAAGATTGGTTATCTTAATAATTCCATTATGTTTGTATAAAAGGAGCAGCCTTCAGCCAACTATATTAAATGAAAAACACAGTAATTCCCAGGGAGTAGGAATCATGCCTCCTCTGATTGTACACCATCTTAGGAAGAACATACTTTTGAATTAATAAACTTTGACTTGCATGTTCAGTTGCTTCCAGAATTCATGTGAACAGGAATTATCCCAAGCTCAACGTAACAAGATCCTGTCCAAGCTGTGTAATCTTGTGTTTTTTTCAAATAAAAGGCATACAAGCAGATGTTAAGTTGAATTTTATTTGGTCCACAAGAAAATATTTTCCACAAAAAAATATTGTAAAAATATATTGTAGTGTGTTTTATTTGGGAATACTGATGTGCCTTAGTCCAGAGATGTCAACTTTACAAAGTTGTGCTGCAGTTAATGTATTTTGAACCATTATTAGAATATCAAGTCAGTCACATTATATCCACTCAGATTAATCTTGTTTCCTGGAGAAAATATAAAGCAAATATATTTTTAACTCCTAAACAGAAGTAAACAGTTTTGCAGAGTATGCCAGTCCCAAACTGGAGTGCCTTTATTACACAAAATCAAGTCAAATAATCAATAACTTAGCTGGAAACCCACTGTCAGTAGCTCTAAAACTCTAGCACAGCTTAGCATAAATGTATTTAGGTGAAGAAGTCTTTATTTTTACTATGTATTAGTATTGAGCCTGTTAAATGCACACCAGAGCTCTGGAGAGAGATCTCCCTCCATCTCTTACCAGACTGTAGCACTGAATAGATTTATTTTCTGTTAAGGGTAAGTGCATTATTTATAAGGACAGCATCCTGTAAAAGAGATGATTTTCCTGGTGAGAAGCCGTCTCCCTGTTGTTTGCTTTCCATTTGCTGCATGCCTTCCCTGAAGTGCCAGTGTCATGGAAAGCATCCCAGAGCAGCTGGAATTGCCCCTGGGGCCGCTCTGAAGCTGCTGGAATCTCCAGGCACCAGTGAGGGCTGAGGTTGGAGGCTGCAGGCGAGGGACAGGCTGGGCCACCAAGAGCTGGTGCTGAGTCACCCCGGGGCAGCTCTGGGGGCAGGCAGGGCAGCCACCCCACACAGCAGCTCCTCCAAGGGGAGCCGTCCTTGGGGCACGGGCAGGGTGACTGGGCGACCTCCTCTGGGGAAATTCCCAGTGCTGATCACACGCGATGCTGTGCTGGAACCTCAGGCTGCTTTATAACTCTGCCTGCTGTTGGACCGTGCAGTGGCAGCCTGCCAGCAGGGAACTGCTTTCAAAAGTGCATCTGATATTCTTAAAGAGTGTCAGATGCTAAGGCTACATCCAGGGGAAGGATTTGAGACGTGGCAACAGGAAGCACTGCAGCACCTCACTGCCCGTGGCCACCACCAGGGTGCCTTGTACAAGGGCCAGGGCAGATCTACCTAGAGGTGCTCTGACAGCGAGTCCAGTTTTCTACCTGCTCCTCACCTGCCTGGCCAACAATGGCTATGGAGCTTTGGTTTTTTATTTTTAATTACTGTGGTTAGCAGTGTTCACATTCTCGAGCCCACACTCATGTTAGAAAGGTTGGCCCTTTTTTTTAAATAAAGCTTTATTTTAGCAAGAGTAAGATTAGGAATCTTTTTTAATACTGTGCTTAATCAATATCCAGTTGATATGTACTGACTTGGATCAGTGATTTGGCTTTGCTTTCTAACTCACACTAATACATGGAGATTTTTAGAGCAAACAGAGTATGAGCAAATGTTTTATATGCTGTAGAACTTGAAGGAACGTCACTCTTAGCAGGAGAATTTAAGTGAACCATAAAACCTCAGTCCCACTTTGCAAACAGCTTTGAAGACAACTACGTAACTTCAAAGAGGACGACATTACAGCATAAGCTGATTTTGTTCCTTTTTCCAGCAAAAGCTTGAGAAGAGCCTTAATAGCAGGTCACTGGGAATCCAGTCTGGTCACTGGGATTTAATGGCAGCCTTGTGCTGTGTCACAGAGAAGCATTTTTCACCTTTCATTCCTGATAAAACCACTTCCCCATATAGGGGAATTTCAAATACCTACATTTGTGTCACAACATTTGCAAAACAGCTCAGTTCATGGACTGTCTACAGCATTTGACGTGGTCATCTTTCTGCTTGCTTCCCATTGCTTGAAAAATCCTGCTTTGGATCATTTACTAGAACTATGTGTACCTTTTAAAAATAGTAACAGCTTTAGTTGGTATGGAAAGCATTTCTCTGTAATATTAAAACAAAATGGAAAGCATTTTGATCTAGGAAAAAGAACTATGTCTTTTAAACTGGGCATCACAGAGAAAGGAACAAACAAGTAGTAAAAGCCAAGCTGTTAGAAGGCCTTCACTTTGTATAAACCTCAGCAACATTGTACCTTTGGGATGAATGAAAATAATCCATGTGTGTCCTGATCTGTCAGACACCAGCTGTGAATGCAGCGGGTCAGGCTGCGAGTCCTGGGCAAGCAGGGAGCGATGTGTGGATGCACTGGGGGAGAAATGCAGCCCTTGAGCTTTGGGTCTAAGGCTTAGTCTCTAACTCTGCATTCAGGGCACTGCTCAGTGCTGGGGCTCCTGTAGCTCCTGCTGGCATTGCCATGAACAGGTTTTCCAGTGGGGAAGCAGCAGCCTGCAGAAGCTGAAGGAAGACATCCTGCCTGTCCCAAGGGTGGTACTTCAGAGAGGAATTGCAGTGTAATGTAACCACAGCTCCCATGAAACAAGTTGTCCTAAAGCACTGTCGCACCTTTGAAGGCTCTTTTCACTAGCTACCATCAGTAGTTTTTGCACATCTCTCTAGTAAAACAACAAAACCAAATCCTCCCAAACCGGCACCCTAACACAAAAAATCCCCAAACAAAATCAAAAAACCAAACAGCTTTGGTCTGAACGCAGTGACCAGATGTCATTAACCTATCTTACTGCAGGCTTTTAGAGAAAAGCTTTCATGCATTTACAGAAGCATCTGTTACTGATAATGCACTGCTTATCAACACTGGCATGTTTCTCCCTGGTTCACTTCAATGGAAGGTGAATAGCATCATCATCGAAATGGCTCCCTGAATACTACTGGGGTTTACAAAGTGCCTCCTATCACCTTCATTTTGTGATCTTACAGATTCAGTTAGGTCACAGAATCAAAAGTAAAATTTACGATGGCAGTAACCTTTGCTACATGCAGACCTTGATTTCATTTTAGCGAAACACAGACAAATTCACCAAGCACAGAGAGTTCATCCCACCTACAGACAGACCACTGATCTTTTATGCAGAACAGAGAAATGATCCACGTTTTGTCCTCTGTGGCAGTGCTTGTAGAGGTGCAGGGCAGCCACAGTCTTCTCATCCTCCTTTTAACG